ATTATTATTAATTATTATTATTAATTATTATTATTAATTATTATTATTATTATTATTATTATTATTATTATTATTATTATTATTATTATTATTATTATTATTATTATTATTATTAATCATTATTATTATTATTATTATTAATATTAATATTAATATTATTATTATTATTATTATTATTATTATTATTATTATTATTATTATTATTATTATCAGTCCCATGGATCGTATATTTAGTCAAGAGGAAAAAACTTTATTTTCCAATTTGAATTTATAGAAACTAGTTAAAAGTGGTCGTAGTGTAGGATGATGCGAAAAGTTAGGAAAATTATTTTAGACAATTATAATAATAATGATGATAATAATTATAATGATAGTAATGATGATAATAATAATAATAATAATAATAATAATAATAATAATAATAATAATAATAATAATAATAATAATAATAAAATTAATAGTAATAATAATAATGATAATAATAATAATGATAATAATAATAATGATAATAATAATAGTAATAATAATAATAATAATAATAATAATAATAATAATAATAATAATAATAATAATAGTAATAGTAATAATAAGATAGTTTGGAAATTTAATAATAGAATTCAACAGAGAATTTAATTACTATTCGCATCACCTCACTCGACATCTTCCGTTCTCCTACAAAACGCAGTAAAAAAAAAAAGTCCAGCGAGAAAGATCAAATGTGTCACTAAACTTCTTTTTCTTGGTCGGCCTTCTGCTTGACTAAACAGAAACTCAAAGCTTAAATATGCAAGACCAAGCCCGAATATAAGGTAATGACTTAAATTTTAACGCATTTAAAAAGTCATATAAAATGAAAATTAACTGATTCCTAACTAAGTTGGTACCCGATAAACAGTGCCTAAGAGGTAGTAGTAGCAATCCATTCTTGTAGTTTATCCACTAATTATAGTGAAATTAATTTTTTCGACCTCCTCGTCTCTTCATAGAAGATGTACATTGAGGACAGTACCACTTCCCTTTTGGTGGGGCGGTAATACCTACACACGGGTAGTGGAACCATTCGAAAGGGCACTGAAAAAAAAAAAAAAAAAAAAAAGATAATGATCAATCGTCAGTATTAAAGAGATTGTAAAAATGATTTATGAATAATAAGAGTATCTTACGTCTGAATTATCGCAAGCAACCATATCTCCATAGGATACTTGATTGCATATACAATATCTTGGTTCATTGGGATCATACGTCCAATCTGGATTATCCGAGTCTGTGACCGTCGTCGTCGTTGTCGTCGTTACAACTGGTGGTGATACAGGTTGCTGAACCGTGGCAGCGATGACGCTTGAGCTTGGAATGGCAGCATTTACTTTCCTATATTATGACACCATGTTAATGGTACTGTACCATTAAATTAAAATAACTTTTTATTGTACGACAATGAAAAGTTGCATACTTTTTATGCTTTTTAGTTGTTTCTTGAATAGCTGCGATAGCAGTCTGAGCTGCTCCAGCTAATTCTCTACTAAATTCGGCAGCGTGAACGCCACCGGTATTAATGGCCTCGTAACTAGCTTTTAAACTGGCTGTCCGCCTGCCTTGTTGCATTTGTTGCGTTGCAGCTATAGCTTGAGAAGCAGCTGCCGCTATGGCATTACCACCAGCACCTATATGGCCAAGATTATAGCTCACAGGGCCAACCGAATTCACGATAGCGGATGGGGTTGATGGTACGCTTGTAGGTGCTATTATTGGTCCGGAATTAGTCGATGTTGGCCGGGACTCAGGAAGACTTGGAGGAATTTTTTCTATCGCTAATCGTTTCTCTATAGAAGTAGAAGACGTATTGGAATCTCTCCTTTTCTCTGATCGAGCTGCGAAATATTAATTATCATTTTATATTCGAAAAGTTAAAGATTTGTAAAAATGTTGTCGGACATGTAAGTAGTACCTATGTCTAACTTACAATGGCCATGATTGTCTCGCGATCTACTAGGCGTGAAACTATAATGATTTTCTTTTTGACTACTATTCGTAGAGGGTTGATCTAACTCCAAAGATCTTTTTTCTAATATTTCTGTAATTCCCTTATTATCTGCCTCTAGTTCCATTTTAAATTTGTGCAATTCTTGATCTAACCTTCTTAAATATCTGTCTACTAAATCATACATTTGATTGGCTAAATGTACTTTTTCATCCGCATCTTCTAAAGTTTTATAATATTCTCTTCTAATAGCTTCGTATTCCGCTTCTTTTTCGTTAGGCTTCATTTTTTTGGCATTTGAAAAGAATGTCTTAACTTTTTTCTCTAAACTATCCATAGAATCTGTAAATAATGAAAAATGGTATAAAGCAGCCTTAGTCTAAGAGCATACGTTAAGATTTTTTTCTATACATACAAATTTATATAAACAGGCATGAGAGCATCGTATAGAATACATACTTTGTACACCTAAATCCATTTCTCTCATTTCAGTGAACCGGTCCCTTAATTCTTGTGGGAGATGCTCAATCACTGAAAAAATGAATGTATAAGGTCAACATAACCAAACAAAATAACATTGCAATTGTCACGTTTTAAAAACGACGATAAATAGATAATTGTATAATAGATAATAAGACGTGATTGCAGATTTGTCAGAAATGTTTATAATATTATTAGAATGTTTGAAAAAGCTTTTAAAAGGAATAACTATTATACTAATCGTTTGACAAATATCTCCTTAACCTAAAAATTGTTAAACATTCTGCAAGAAACATTGTCATTTCACGTTGAAAGTTCATAACTTGAAAAGTTAAACTATCATTCGTGATTGTTTCGTTGGAAGGTACAACATCAAAATAAAAATCTATTTATGAAATAAATTTTCAATGTTTCCAATGAGAGGGTGTATTCGGAAAGGTTAGTAACTTTTCTCATGAAGCTGGCTAAAGCAGAGCACGCCTTGTTTTTACGTACTTTCGACATAATCTTCCAAGTAAAGCATCCTCTCGTACCGGCGTTACGCTGTCCGCTGTCCGATTTATAGTAATTAATAATTTACAATAGGAGAGTGCTCGCCGCCGTAGAGGAATTAACGAAAATTGTAGCACTCGATCGGAAGCGTGTTTACGGCGGTCAGAAGCCTCGGTATACCCGCATATTCTTTTAACGATCAAAAGCGGTACGAATTTTCGAACTGATTCAAATCTGACGTCCTACGAAAAAAATATCATACGGTCGGAAAATAAGGGAATCAATTATCGGTGCATCCTAATCGGTCCAGCATAATTTCAAATTAATACTGGCCAGTTCTCTGTTCCGGTATTGTCCGCCATCTTATGTGTCTTCTCAGGTCCGTATATAGACAAATTCGTTTGGTGATCGGAGCACCCTCATTGACTCGGAATAAAATTTTTCTTTGAATTTTTGTACAAAATAATACGATCATAATCGTCTTTAACATTGCATGAAATATTTAATCTTTTTTATTTAACATTGTTGAATTAAATAAGACAAATAATACATAGATAAAAAAGAGAAGAAAAAAAAAAGAATACTCCTACGACATATTCACAGCGAATTACGTGGACGTTTCATTTGATTTTATTTCGGCGAACAAGGATGTCCATTGGCTAATGATAAAAACGTCCAATAATTTTATTCCATTAATCAATATGATAGTGTAGAAATCCTACATTAAAATTTCAAATTAAACATAATCGTAATCACGTTTTGACAGATTACTTTTAAAATCAATCGTATTGATAAAATGATCCGACGAAATCCAACAAAAATTGAATTGCGATTGGACGATCTGCAAGAGTACGAAGTTATGAAGAAGGCACACGAAGCAAAGAAGGAAGCTGAAAGACAACAAAACTTTAATCCTCCTTCCTGGAGTGGGAAAGTTCCACAAACTGAAATTCACGAACGTATTGGATACATGCCACAACAAAATCAACAACCTAGACACTCGAGGCCTAACATATGAATGATATAAACATTTTAGTTTATTCATTTTTGAAAAAAAAAATAAAATAATAATAATAAATAAATAAATAAAACTATATATATATAGATATAAGACAAATGAAGGATGTAATAAATTCAAAAGAAAAATTTCATTGTCGACACAATTTCTTTTGTAATATTTACTGACAATGAAACTTCTTACTAAAATATACATGGCAGCATAATTTTTTTTGTATGTTTTTTTTTTTTCTTCATATGTTTTCTATTCGATATTTTAAACATCAGTCAACTTCTTCTCGTACGACATTAAAATTAATTTAGTTTGTTTTAGTTTACTTTAGCTGTCGTCTTCTATGATGTGGTTTTTCTCATTTGAAATACATTAATAAAGTAACAATTGAGCCATTCACAAACCAAAGCGATCAATCCCATTTTTAGAATTTTCTTATATTTGACTACCAAAGCCATTGATTGATATGTGTTTCTTTTCATTTTTATATATAAAATAATAAATTTCCTTGATAATAATGATCAGTGCCACTAAATAACACAAGTTTTTTCATTAACAACAGTTCATTAATAAATAATTAACTATCACTTCATTATCAATTATTATTTAATAAAAAATTGAATTATTCCTTTTTACTAATTGACATTAATTTTATCATACATCTGTAAAATAAAATCAAATTAATAATTATGAAATATTTTTAAATTAATAATAATTTTATGTTATATTTGAATATATATTTTATATGAAATTTTAAAAAACAATATATACATATACATATACAATATACATATATATATATACATATATATATTTTTTTTCTTTAGTTTTTGTTTCATGGAATTAAACACTTTGGCGAATGAATGGCTCAAAAGATAAATATTATTACCTGAGATATTAAACCCAAGGAAAAAATATGTTACATAGTCGATAATCGTCTAAAGGTTATGATCGAGCGCTTATTTATTGCTAACTAAACTTTTTAATTTTTTGTTTGTTTCTCTTTCTCTCTCCCTCTCTCTCTCTCTCTCTCTCTCTCTCTCTCTCTCTCTCTCTCTCTCTCTCTCTCTGCCTCCATTAAGCATTAATATAAAAGAGAAAAACAATATCTTCCTATAGCAGAAAGCACCAGTTTACATATTGTCAACGTTTATTGCTTGATCCGTCCTACAAGACGATTGCTTTTTAACGAGAATATTTATATGTAATATCTGGAAACATGTCGAAGAAACATTTTACATGTAAATCAATCTATGCGATGCGTGTATATAAACGTATAGACGATTAGAAAAAAGTAAATAAATAAAAAAAAAAAAAAGAAAGAGTTTCGATGTACAACAAATAGCACCGTTATATCTAAAAGTAACATCATCATCATCATCATCATCATCATCATCATCAAACATAATCATCATTATCAATCATAATCATAATCATCATCATCATCATCCTCATAATCATCACTACTACCGTTTTCAATTCAATGTGAATTTCAAAATTTCAAATCATGTGACCAAACGTAATTCTAACGAGTTTCTAATGAGAAACTCAAACGATGGTATATACATAATTGTTATTCGTCTCTGGAGCAAACCTTTGAGCTTATTATAATCCCTTGTTGAAATATAAATGCATTGGTATATCCTTTCCTTCGCAATTCTTCAATAAAAGTTCATAACTTTCGGGCTCCCATCGTTGCAAAGTACTGACTGCGATTGAACTGAGAAAAAACAATATATTGATACGAAAATACATCAACGATGATACTTCTTTGTTTTATAACAATCGAGGATTTTTTTCTTTTTTTTTTTTTCCCCGCTTTTCTTTTATTATCTAAGTAAACTTACCAGTTTTGTGGAAACAACGCACAAGCAGTCGGTACCATGAACGTCAAGCTAAAAAAATTATCAGTGATCGTGCAAACATTTTCTTCATTTCGTAGGATTATCAATGAAGTTACAATGAAATGTAAAATGGTAATCACTTACAAGCATCCAACCATCATAACTTGTATTGGTGCATGAAAGATTTTAATTCTTTGCATCCATTCGTATTTCTCTAACCTTTCCATTATAGGTGGGAGAATCACTGAAATGATATATGTTCTATTATAGTTTATATATATATATATATAAAGTAAGTTATAAACATTTTTTTATTTATAATAGATTTTAAGAAGATTTGAAATTGTAACAATATTTCATTATAAAAATTATTAAAAATAATTTCCATTCAAATTAATACATGCCTTTCATCGACGTCACTAGGATTGTCGATGTGACGGCATGTTGCTTGATTTAAATAAAAAATGTTTATAACTTGGAAAAGTTTACGGTTTCATGTTTATATAACTTTTTTCCATTCTTACAGTGAATAGAATATGTTTTATCTTAAAGTTTGGATTGTAAAGATGTATTTCTGAAATGCCCTCTATATATGAATTGTTCATTTGTCAAATTGATTAAATCAACTAAACAAAATATAGAGACATTCAATAAAGTTATATGCATTGTACATTATTTATTATTCAACGACAACAAAACATTTTTATTATTTAGTCGTATTAAGTTTAATTATTATGGGAATTTATTTTAAATATAAAAAATTAAGCATTAGATGCTTTGACATTTAAAATTTAGAAAAATTCTAAATATAAAATTAATCATTTTGATTTGTGAATGGTTCATATATAAGTTATATTATATAGCTTATGTTGTTATAATATATATACATATATATATATATAAAATGTATATGTTATTCATGTAATGATTTTTTTCTTCATAGTCATACTTACACATGCCAGGTGCACACATAATGATTCTCGAGATAACGACTTGACTGATGCCTTTCACAGCAGCTATCTTCGAGATTAATTAAATTTAAATTAGAAATATCTATTTTATTCTTCATATAAGAAAAATGAAAAAAAAGGTATATAAATATTTCTTACTTTCGATTTACTAAGCTTTTGGCCATTCTCGTCGGTAACTTCGATTCCATTTAGTATCTCATTTTGTCTCATTAATGGTATATTTGCACAATTAGCAGCAGCTACCGCAGCGAACGGCACATACCTCTGTGATGATTAACGGATTATTAATCGATATCATTAAATATAACGTGTTAATAATAGATAACGATTAATTCGATTAACTAACTGCCATCAAAGGATTTGCCCTTTTCTCCCAAAAAGATTTACATCCTATTGCTGTTATCATTGCTGCTGCTGTAGCACTAACATAAGCCGCACCCAATTGATTTGTGGTCACTGGACTATTTGCATTTCTATTGGTATAGTTGACGAGCGCGTTAAATGACTGATTGACCCATTGCCAAAAAACTACTGCCGTGGTTGTTCTGTAATAATAATGATTTAATTGTTTTAATAATTATTCGAATATGTTGACAAAAATTTATTCAAAAAAAAAAAAAAAAAAAAAACAATTTTGTAATAATACTTATATTTTGTTTTATATCTATATGAATGGTTATTTTTGAAAGTGAAAGTGATAAATTTATTTTTATTTAATTTTAATATTATAAATAAAAAAAGTAAAAAAGAATAATTTCTGTCATTTATCTATTTAGAATAATTGTATAATAATATTCGTTTCGTTCCATAGTTGTTATTTTTTCATATTATATAAATCTTGTATCATTTATATTTAATATTATAAAATGATAAAATGACAACTCGCAATATATTTTTCATAATCTTTTTTTTCTTTTTTTTTTCTTTTGAAGGGATGGAGGGTGGGAGGGGAGGAGGGATAATTTTCTATTGAACCTTTTGATTTAATTTAATGTAATATAAAAAAAAAATTTGAAAGGATAATTAAATTTTCTTCAAGATTGTTGATCATAGCACTATCAAAAAATGTCATTACTAAATAAAATCAAAAATATACGTATATAAGCGTTCAATGTCAAATACATTTCCGACGTAAACGAACAAGTAAAAAAATTTGAAATAATATAGAACAAATGTGTCAATGATAAAGTGTCAATGTTATTTACTTGTAGAATTGAAGCATGGCACCGGTCACAGCCATACCACCTGGCACCTGGAAGGACATTCTACCAAAGACATTTTGTAGATCGCCAGTGTCCGGATGAAAGGCCGACTCGTAGAGCTTCTTAGCATAGATGATTTCTTTTCTGGTGGTACCAGCTGGCTCATTTCCAAGTCTGCAAAACAATCGTACGATGATGACAATCCGATGATCCTTCGAAAATATTTGAACAATTTCGAGGGGAAAAAAAAAAAAAGAAAAAAAAGAGAACAAGAAAAAAAGAAGGAAAGAAAAGGTTAGAGACTACAAATTAATCTCGTGATTCGTATTCATTGCATGTTTTTTTTTTTTTTTCTTTTTTTTTTCTCCAAAGAATTCTCGAATTAACTTCATTGAATATTTTGAAAATGAAAAGAAGATTAGATTACTATATCTTCTTATTCGTTCAAAGAGATTAAACAAAAAAAAATAAAAAAGCACTTATTAACGAAAACACATGTTCTTTTTAACAATGGCCTTGAAGACAAATGTCCTTCTCATTTATTTTTAAATTAGTTTTAAAAATGCAAAGTTACGTCAAGCATAGCATAATAAACGTTGTACATGCATTTACATATATATATATATATACATAGGTCGATCTTTATAATTATAAATAGAAGATAAAAATTGATCTTGGAGTAAAAGATAGACGATTTTTCTCAAAGAATTATGTTACGAGATTTTTCGAGATAATCGCATTAAAGCGTACGAATAAAGAGTCTATAAACACACACACACACACACACACAAGCACGCGCGCGGGCAAGCGCTCGCATGTCATGTATATCTATGTATGTATGTGTGTATATATCTACATAATATATATAAATTATAGTATTACTATATTATTATTTTACTTATTAATATAGTAATATTACTATAGTATTACTATATTAATAAAGTACTATATTACAATAATATTATTATACTATATAGTACTCTATTAATGTAGTCTAGTAATATTACATGTATATATATATATATGTATGTATAATATTACATATATATAATATATGTATATGTATATATTTATATATTTATTCATTTGTTTAAAACATGTATCTATGTATACATACATAAAATATAGATATAGATGTTCATATATTTCTAACAAATTTCAATCGATATTATTATTTATTAAAACATAAAAGAAATCGTTCGAATTTCAAATGAACATATCTCCTACTTGCCTGTAATCTTCGCATAATTTCTTAGCGGCAATCAATTTTTGTTCAGGAAGGATGCAAGTTCGAAAATCCGTAACCCAGGCAAAATGTTTCCATCTACCTGCGAAGGTACTCAGATCCCAAAGTGGCTTATCCAAAGCCAATCTCTCGTTCGTCATTATGCTCTTTCTCCTTCTTTTCTTTTTTTTTTTTTTTATATCTGAAAAATTCACATCAAAAACGAACCTACTTTCAACCGGAGTCTAAATTCCTTTAATTATTTTAATAACAGAAATGAAAACAAAATGATCGAGTATTGAAATAATTTAAATGGATATTTCGTAACAATATGAACATATGTACAAACACATATTTAATCATTTTCGAACCAACGTTAATTTGATGTTATTGAAGATACGACTGATTCAAAAAAAGGAAATTATATATATATATATATATATATATATATATATAGAGAGAGAGAGAGAGAGAGAGAGAGAGAGTAGGCACCGAGAATATATCACTTGATTAACATAATTAAAATATTCGATAAAATTCTAAACGAATCGGATATGGTGTCACAATCATATTTCAACGAAATATAAGTCCATGTTTTTGAGAGATCATTTTAAAGAAAAACATCAAATGTTATCGTTAGATATTTAAATGCAAGGTCAGAAGATATTGAGAAATAATGTGCATTAGCATTATATCAAGTTGAATGATTGGTATAACTATAAAATTCTAAATATAAAGAAAATGAAAAGAAAAATAAAATAAAATAAAAATAAAAAGAAAGAACTTAACGAAACCCAGGCTAATTTAAACTTTATATACACGTGCTATCTTTCTCATACACACGTACATACATACATACATACATACATACATACATACATACATACATACATACATACATACATACATACATACATACATACATACATACAGAGATATATATATATACATAAAATTATATAAATAACAGGTAATCAAAAAAGAATTTCGATCGATTGTTTATCAATCGATTAAAGCACGTGAATCATTCGGTATTGCTCGAGTAGGTTCGGTGTCCGATCGTGCATGATCGTGTCACGAGACAGCCGGGCCCTAACTTCGATCGGCCGAATCCTGGCATTTTTCCCATACGAAATTATTGGCAATAAGCAATAATAGATATATGCACAACGCTACGTTTACAAAATTTCTATTGATACAATCGCATGATCTCACGTATAATACACGTCGTTGAAATATTTTTTTATAAAAGTCCACTCCCTAAAGCAACGATGACGACAACAATGACGAAGAAGAAGAAAAAGAGACGAGAACGTGAGGACAACGAAATAATACCCTCGAAAAATATCGTTCATATCGTATTCTATTTTACATGAAAGAGAAAACAGATACGTCATGATAGGACACAATAGATAAGTACGAGCTCACATTTAACATTTGAATTTTTATTAACGTTAAACGAATGTTATTATCCTTGCCTCTTTCATTCTTTTTCCGTTTTCATTTTCTCTCTCTTTTTTTTTTTTTTTTTTTTTTTTTTTTTTTTTTTTGAATTATACAAAGAGGTAAACGACACAGTGATCATCGGTCTTCAATGATATCTTTCCAAACCGTGAAAATGATTGGTAGATCTTACGCGAAAATGTATTAATGGTCACTGTTAAATTGTTCACACACAAGACTACTCGTATATTATGCAATAAGTCAGAGATTATATAAAACGGATGAATATATTAAATTTTTTTTTCTTTTATCTCTACACGAGTGAGCTTACCCGTTGAACGCGTACCACCTCCCTGGAGCTTCTGTGGCTCCTGCTGTCTAACGTCAACGCGAGAGCGCGCTCAACTGGCATCACCCCAATGATGCCCTCGCTACTTGATACGTACCTGACACCACCACCATCTTTCTTCTTTATACCCCACCCTTTCTATCGTCTTCTTCTTCTTCTTCTTCATCTATCGCAGTTCTAACATATCTGGTCGTTATTACGATCAGGAAATTATTCGATTTTTTGTTTCATTTATTTATTTTTTTTTCTCTTTTATTTTTTTTTTTTTTATCCTTTTTGAAATTTATGAGTCGTGCGAATAGATCGTAATTATAGTTCTTACCGCGTTACATAATATTCATAGAGATAACAATTTCCAGATAAGAAATCATATCTGCTGTAATCATTAATTAATAATACATATTTGGAATTTATCATGTAACGTTGATCCATTGATGTAGATAAAACCTAATTATTCATTGACAAGATAAAATTTAATAATAATTTTCGAAACTTTTCAACATTTTTGAAAATAATATCAATAAATCAATATTTTTTATTAAAAATTATATATGTCATATATATAAACCCTGTTATTATTGACTAACCCAACATTATATTACTGTTATTATAACAGTATTGTTTATTTTAATGTTGTTATATTATTGTTTGATTTAGATATAAAATATATTGCTTATTGACCAATTTAATATATACATACCATAAATATATACAATATGCATATATAAGTATATAATATACACATGCATATGTTTTATACACTCATGCACATATATATGTACATACAAAACATACATCCATATATATATATATATAAATATATATTCACAAAATCCTTCGAACAAGGCTAAGTTATTGTTGGCATAGACATTCTCGTTATAACCTTTTGTTTTTGTAATTCAAATATGGCAAGATCAGAATGTTCTTTTTAACGACGAATAAAAATATTGAAATTTCTATATATTGAAAAATGAATTATCATCCACATATGACACATATATACGTATATATATATGTATGAACATCTATTAACATATATTTAAATATTCGTACAGTATGAATGTATATATGTTATCTATGTACTTTCCGTGTTTTTTTTTTTTTGACTTTATTGTAATACTTAACTCCACCATTGCATTTTATGTATGTATGGATAGGATGGATGCATGGAGAAGTATGTGTGCCTAATCGAAACTTCTATTCTTGTTATACTCTAGGGTGCCGAAAACGCTCGATATGAACGCGCATTTCTCGGAGTTGCGCAATGTTATTGACACTATCGTAGTAGAGGATCCATTTGTGTAACGCATTTATCCAAGTGTTCCATATGCATCGACTTGCAAAATTACTACCATTCGCGAAAATCCAGAAAAGAGAAGGGGATAGGTAGAGAGAGAGAGAGAGAGAGAGAGAGAGAGAGAGAGAGAGAGAGAGAGAGGGAGAGAGAGAGAGAGAGAGAGAGAGAGAAAGAGAGAGAGAGAAAGAGAAAGAGAGAGAGATAGGAAAA